CTCTTTAGTTCCATACGCAAATATTATTTATTTTATCAAAAAAAAACAAAAAAAAAAAAAAAAAAAAAAAAAAAAAAAAAACATTTAAAAATCGTTCTGAATCGATTAACGAGGATTAGGCACCGATTCTATCTCTCAGCGGCTGAGACATGCGAGTACTATTTATTGTTGGCAAGAAAAATTTTTGTGGCTCTTTAAAAACTTCGAAATTTTGTAAATTGTAATTTTTGACTCTTCCGACTCAAAAGGTTGCCGACCCCTGGACTAGATCAAAGCTGTTGTTAATTAGAAAGAGGACTAAATACATTCAAAATTTTTCATTTTTCTCTGTTTGTCTCATTTAGTTTCTTCATATTGTTTCCAAAATTCATTTTTTTAATTTTTTATCTGTAATGTGTTAACAGAAAATGCGAAAAGTTATTTCGACATTAACATTATGATCTTATCATAGACATTACTATATAAATTGAAAATAATTGTAATTAGTTAGATGCGACATATAGAATTTTTATTTCTAATTTCGCAAAAAATTCGTTTACTATCTTTGAACGTATAATTGAATAACAATTACACCAAAATTATAGATAGCAGTTATGGATTAATTTTAGGCTTCGATATCGTCATTATCTCAGTTTGTTTTTTCAAAAAATATTAGGCCGAGATTAATTGAAAATATTATCAAACAAAATATATCGGTTAATCAAGATTAAATATGAATAAAGTTAGTTAATTATAATATTCAACACAATGCTGCTTTCTCTATTATGTAAAATATAAAAAAAAAACAAAAGTAAAATTTGTTTTTCTTTTTAGTTAGCATATTTTTTCAAGTAATAACTCATGATAATAAATTCGTTGTCATTAAAAAAATTTCATTTCTCTGGATTGTCATGTAACTTTTTATACATAGATCATTTTCTAATCAGTTAGAAATGACTTCTGAATAATATCTAATAGATCAATAGGACAACAACATTGAAACCAAGTTAGATATTACAAAATAATGAACAATATAATATTATCGATAAATTTTCATGAACAAAACGTAATTATATATCAAAATGTTAAAAATAATAATTTGGTATGATAAAAGTAATATCGTACATTTACAAAAAAGGAAAGTACAGTCGTGAAATTTAGATATACACAATATCGTAATCTATAATTTCACGAAAGTTCATTTATATATTAGTTATAAATCTTTGTTTGTTTTCTTTTTCTTATAAGCATGTAGAAAGGAAAAGCGTGAACATCGACAATCGCACTTATACTTAAGACAAATTGATCCCGTTTGCTAATGGAAAAGGAATGTTAGTGCGCGTAATAGACTAGGTCCAATTAATCGAAATATTTTCGTATTTTCTTGGACAGCATGTATCTAAACACTGACTACGAAAGGATAGATAATAGAATTGTATAAATGATTATATTAATTTGTAAAAAAGCGCATGACCTATCACCTCTCGACGATATCGAACGAGATACATTATCGGTTCTACGACGATTTGCATCGTTGTTCAAAGGTTGCTTTCGTTGTACGTCCTTGTCAATTTTATTTTCAGCATTAATGTTGTCATTATTATTATTATGTCGTCCACTATTGGTTCGTGTATCTGAAAACGATTAAAATATTTATTAAAATGAGATTATTAGTTTGATAGTTTGCAAAACATTTAAATCATTTTACAAAAAAATACAAATGTTAGATTAATATAACAATACGTTTAATTTCATAAAGATGATATATGACAGATTTTACAGAAAAGAAATATAATCTTGTAATTTTGTAATATGTGTCCAATAATCGATATGCAAAATGATACGATGAATGAATTTAAATATTCTTACACGTGAGGGTGGAGTATCGATATTCGTAAAAGGTCAAAGTAACTTTTGTAAATTCATTATAAGTTATGCGTAACACATTTCACACGTAGTTCGATTTTTACTCAATAACACTATTTGTAATTCGTATCGATAAGCAAATACTACGGTTCGTAGATTGGTTTCTTCATTGGTTAAATAACAAAAAAAAAAAAAACAAAAAAAACATTTCTGTATCGCCTGAAACGTCGATTGAGTGATTTTAATTTCTTTCGAAAATTTGTTCGTGAAAATAAAATGTACAAGCCCCGAAGGATATTTTTTTTAATTCTTATGTATAGATAATTCAACACGTGCATGGAATAAAAGAACAACAAAAAAATAGGACGGAATCATAGTAACTAATATTCATTGATATCGTTAGATATATTATTTTATTTTATTACCACAGTTTCTATAAATTTTATTGAAATATTTTTCTTTTTTACGTTTGTTATATTAAAACAATTGAAATACCTACTCTCATTTCTAATCGCAGTTGACAACGATGCGTCAGTTATTTCATTGGAATTAGGTTCTAAACTTGGCACCAACTTCTGTCGAGACCTTTGCATAGTTTCGACTGAAAATAATATACAATTGTATTAATCATTTCATTTTATCATTGATTCAAAATAATTATCATTTTAAATACCTTTATCTATCGTAGGTATTGGTGTCGTGGTAGTGGTAGTGGTCGTGGTCTTGACTTGTGTCGTGGTAGTTGGAATATCTGTAAATAATTATTATAAATATTAATTAAATATTTTAAAAATTAATCCTACAAAAATATTTATATTTTTCTTCATAAAAAAAAATGATATAATAACTTTGATATCTTTTATACAAGGTGTCTTTCAAAATAAAATAAAATCACTGAAATATCTTGCAAACTAAGAAAACATTTATGTTATTTAATTTAGCTTAAAATAAACGATACTTAAAAAAAAAGATATTGTTTATTTTATATTATGTATATTTTATATTATATATTTATTATTGTATATTATTTATATTATTTATATATTAATTTAGTTTAATATTTATATTATAATATTTTTTTATAAAAATAATATACCTATTATACATTTAATAATTTAATTGAATATCGATAAAGATATAATATATTTGTTCTCCTGTAGCTATAATAATAGGACGAAATAAAAGTTTAAAATGATGATCTCTCGTTAAGTTGTCTATAAAACTCAATCGGATTTCTTTTGAGAGTGTTCTTTGCGGATTCCCGTAGAATTCAAGCACCTTTTCTCTCTTTGCGTTGGATAGACGTCACAAAGCTAAGAAGTTCTCAATCCGTGAACGAAGCAGAGAAAAGCCACGATTACAGATCGATCTGGATCTTTGGTCGGGTTTTTCTATCTCCCTTTCTCTTTTTCTCTTTCTTTTTGAAAAACGACACCGACAGTTCGCAGTTATCGATGTGATTCGCTATACTTCTCATGAAACTACTCTACTTTTTCGATTCTAAGCAAAGCCCCCGATACTACCCATGGCAATTTCCCTTTGATTTTCGATCGTGTAAGATTAGAAACGAATTTCAAAGTAATTACGTTCTTGTGTATATAGATTTTATCAGAAAGAGAGAGATAGTGGTTGTGTTGTTGATCGATTGGACGAATTGAATTATTCGTCGATGCGTTAAGTGATTAAAATTAGATAATACTTAGTACTTCTGAAACTTCTTTTTTTGTTGTTACTATTTTCTTGTCAAGATAGTACCATCAATTATATTTTTATTTTTTTTTAAATCTAATTTCTCTCATATAATGGAAAAAAATATAATTACATTAGGTCGAGTCATAAATAACTCCCGTTTTTAATGAGACAAAGAATGGTGTTTCTGTCACTGATAAGTGCACGACACTTTTCATGGTGTTTTTTTGTACTCTTTGTATTTGTTGGACGTATCTATTGAATTTTGCTTCAATATTACCTTTAAAAGGTTCGTCAAAGTTGGAAAGACGCCCTGCACTCGATTCGTCTTTTAAGGTCGTAACTCCAGAACGAAATTTTACAAACAAATTTCTGACTTCCCTATCAGTTATCAATCCTTCACCGTATATGCTGCATATTTTTTCAGCTGCCACCTTAGTGCTATTGCCTTGTTTCAATTCCTAAAGCATTACATGTCAAATATGCACTTTTTACTATCAACTTTAGAAGTTAACAAAAACTGTTAAATGCAACATTGACTGCATAAAAAAGTTGACAGAAGACTAACTGAATCCTCATCTATACAGTGATATCAAAAATCCGTTTGTTTCGGTGACTTATAGTAGGTAAATACGAAAAATATATGCATCGGAAGTTACTTATGACTCGACCTAATATATAACTTAATCTTACAATTAGTGATAGAAAAAAAATGAAATTTGTATTTTCCTACGATCTATATATTGTAATTAAATTCTTATCAATTAGAATTAAAAAGATATTCGTTTTAGACAATGACAGTTGTTAATTAATTCGCTTAGAAAGTGAAAAATATATATTCGTGTGCACACAAAAACAAATGTATACCGATGCCAAGAAGTTTACATTTAATTAGACTAAAAAAAAATCAAAGAAACTCAACAGAGATAAATGTTAATCTATTTCCAAGGCAATATAGTTAGATTTTCTATGTGTTGTAGGTAGAAGAGATTAGATTTATATATGTAATCGAGACATTTTAAATCGTTAGACTTCTCCTAAAGAAAGAGAGAGAGAGAGAGATAGAGAGAGTGAGTGAGAGAGGAGAGATCGTGAGAATTTCGATTATCGAAAGGGATCTCCCGTTGCATTCGCGCGTTGCTTTTCCAGTGGGATTGCTACATTTCACCGTGACTTTAGCCCATCGATATATCTTACTCGCTGTCTTCGAAAGAGCTCGTGGCCCTTTATCTTACAGCTTTAGAGAATGGAAAGGAGAGAAGGAAAGGAAGAAGGAAAGGGGTGTGTGCTATCGAACGCTTAATTTTTCATCCTACGCTTACATTCTTCTTCGCGCGACTAACGATTTCTGATAACACACATCGTGAATTAAAGGACCATCGTGAAAGAAACACAAAAAAAAAATACGAGAAGATACGACGACAGCTTATTCGTTACCGATAACGGAATACTTTTTGAAAAATTGTCAAAAATTCGTGACAAATGAGAGCTGAGAATGAATACAATTATTTTTATTATCGATCATCACAAAAATTGTATCAATAGACTGTTTCATTAATTAAATAATATATTATGTATTAATAATAATAATTAATTGAATCAACGCATATTATTTTTCAATATTATTATACGATAATAATTTATAATAATAATAATGGAATTAATGGTGCATTTGGTTAGATTCACAATCACGAATTATGAAATTGGCTTAACAATTTACTAATAACAATTAATAAGCTATTTTATTCATTCATTGAATTATCTTCTTTATAATATAATTTTTCATATTCTAAATAATATTTGATTTTCTTAACAAATTAACTTTGCCCTCAAATCGTTGAAAGTTATCGGTCGTATTATTTTCAATTTAAAAAAAATGTAGTAGGATGGTATCGAACGTGAGGTTACGTTTTAATTAACTTTCTTTTTCCCCCTTATATTTCGTATATATATCGGGGTGTATTCAGTAAAACAAACAGATAGTATATTCAATAAGTTAAAATATAAAACATATAAAAGATATCTTTTTTTTTGTTGATTTGTATAAAGTCCTTTTTCGTTAGATTGATTTTCATTGATATAAAACATACATAAGTGATAAATGATATTTCATCAAAAGATATCGGAGATAAGGGGTTACTATATACCCCATATGCTATTATTTGACTTTGAATGAACCTATGATAATAAATGAATTTGAAAAGATTTTTTTCCATTAAAAAAAATATGATTACTTACGGTAAAGGGATATACTGCCATCCGTTTCCCCTAAAGAATTTTTCGATATGCATTTGTAAGTGCCGTAGTCTGACATGGTAACAGAACGTATCGTAAGCTTCATGTGCACTTTGTAAGCATTGTTCGAGAGGGTTGCCTCGTACTTCTCTCCTAGAAAAAAAAAGAATAAAAATAGAATAAAAATAGAATAAAGATACATATATATATATATATACATATACATGTATATATGACGATGATACCAACCAACACATAGATTGGTAGTGTTCGCGTTTCTGCTTGTTCGCACGATAACGGAACTTTTCAAGTTTACGATGGGTTACCTATAAATCATGGGAATCGTATAAAATATAAAAACGCCAAACGGGAAAATGGATTCGTCGATATCGTTTCTCGCGCCCTTCCGCCCACACGTTCGAACGACCTGGGGTATTATTTTCGTGTGTCCTGCGCTCGATCGAACGTAAAATTTGACATTATGCTTCGATGGACAATCGAGTGCACATTCTCTTCCCTTTTTCTCAACTACGATATCTACGTTTAAAGAAGAATCCTAACAATTTTTCTTCTTTTCTCTTCTTATCTTTCACTTTTGAATAATATCAGGATACACGAATGAAATTATGATGTTTTTTTTGTGTCCAAATGAAATACGTTTATTCATTAAAGTGTAATCTCTAAGTTAAATGTAATTCTAACATGAAAAAAAGGACAAATGTAAAATTTGTTTTTGTTTTACAAATTTAATTTTACGTTTGATTTTATATATATTTTTTTTTCGATAAATATTTTCTCAATTCATTAATTATTCCAAAGTGGAATAATTTGTTTAAGAAATACAAATAAACTTGAAATTGTATTCAATAAATATAACATGCAATAAAACGATAATTAATTATGTATTGTATGTATATAATAGCAAATAGATAATGAATTTCAATTACTAACCAATTTCAATAAAATTACATTGCTTATAAGCGAACGAATTTCAATGCATTAATGTAATAAACTTTAATGATCTAGTTATACGAAATACGAGAAAGTGTATTATTATTTAAACTACAGTCAGGACTTTGCTGTGGTCGACCATTATTTTTCTTTTTTCTTTTTTTTTTCGCCTAAGAAACGAATGTTTCCTTCAAACGAAGAATTATCACCCTACAGAGAATCGTATTTTCCTTCGGTAGGGACATTATGCGCCCTCAATCTTCCCGAAAAGAAAAAAAGAAAAAAGAAAAGAAAAAATATAAAAAGAAACGTATTCGCGTTACCAACATTCATGATCACAGATCACGCTATTCACTCGTTTACTGTTATGCACCCCGACGAAACTTTCAAATGCAACCACAAAATTCTATAGAATTTCGTGACTACCGTCAAGCTTATAATCGTTAAATTTAAACTCACAAACGTAATACCAAAAAGGTAGGTTGCGTTTTAAGTGATCATGGAAAATTGCGTTAATTACAGGTAACATAATTTTTTATACGCTTTTCATACGCAACCGTATCCATAAATCTGAGAGATTTAAAAATAATGATAATAATAATAATAATAATAATAATAATAATAATAATAATAATAATAATAATAATAATAATAATAATAATAATAATAATAATAATAATAATAANAATAATAATAATAATAATAATAATAATAATAATAATAATAATAATAATAATAATAATAAATTGATTTTTCGTTTTCACAGAATTTCCATTTACGCGTGCGTTATTTATTTATCCATCGATGTATGGTATTAATGGATTATATTTGGATTAAAAAAACATTGTACCTGTGAACATTTATCTTTGTATTGTATAAATTATAAAATATCAATGGTAAAACTTATACTCGATATTTAAAAAATGTATTACATACTTTTCATATCAAACAAAAAAAGAACATTATTAAAAATATTCAAACAGGTGTATACATTACGGTGTTAAATATAATCCAGATCAAAAATACAAATCTAATAATAATTGTCAAATCGTGAATGTTTGATCTAATAATCGCTTATGTAGACGAAAAACTAGTATTCAGTTCTTTTCTTTATATTTTATTTTCTGGAAAGGAAAAATCTATTCAGAGACTAAAAGAAAAGATTAGGAGGGCCATAAAACCATAAACAAACCTAAAAATTATTGAGATATATTGGTGCGATGAAAACCCTTTATGCAGTGTCGGGACCTTTCAGGAGTTTCGGATTCTTATTTAAGCACGTACGATACTATAAAAATAAATAACATTCCGATATTCTAGATCAAGTTTCTTTATACATAGTTTTCACTACTAAAAACTATAGGCTGCACCCATCGGTGGACTATGGGGTGGATCCTTATGCTATTGGTTAATAAGATTCATAATCTCCTTCCCTCTCATGGGGTGGATCCTTATGCTATTGGTCAATAAGATTCATAATCTCCTTCCCTCTCCCAAGGGGTGTAGCTCATTTCTTATATAAATATGTGAAAAGAAGTAAGAAAGTGCCCTTAGTGCTCAGTCCTTAGTTAGACTTTAGTGCTTAGTCTGTATCTGTCTGTGTGTTATATCTGTAACTCTTTTGTATTCTGTATTTCTGTTACCACGCAACTGTGTGTAAACTTATGTAAATACTGCTCGACATCATAATTAATTAAATAAACTATCACACACACATTTCAGTTCATCATCAGTTTATTATTATTATTGCTTTCTGTCTGAACCCCACACTTAAAAGATTTTTTTCTTTCTAAAATACCAATGAGAAGAAGTGGTATACGATATAGCGTAGTAGTTTTCTTGAAAAAGGATAAGAGAGAAAAAAAAGGGGATGGAAAAGGAGCGAAGTAAGTTTTGATTAACAATTCGTGGAGGGCGAACGGCCAGAAGAATTGGAAACAGAATGAAATCTATAGGTGTAATGATGTGCATTAAAGTGGTGAAGGAAGTATTTTCGCAGTTGGAAGAAAACTTTCCTACTCGTCTAGCGAATGAGTAGGAAAGAGAATAAGAAGAAGAAAAAGAAAGAGAAAGAGAAAGAGAAAGAGCTTGAGAGATAGTGTAAAAGAGAATGAGAAATAAAGAGAGAGAGAGAGTATGTGTGTACGTATAGGAATGTACATGTATGTGTTTGTAGGTGGTGGGAATAAAAAAGAAAGACTAAAATCGAAGGAAAATGAGAAGAGAGAGAGAGAGAGAGAATGGTGAGAATAGATAGAATAGATAGAGAAGGAAGATAAATAAGGAAAAAAGAAAGGGAATGCATTTTTGTAGTGGTTCGGTCGACCCTAGCAAAGCGTAAGAAAAACTTTACCCTGGCTTCCAGTTTGAAAAGTAGATGAAAAAGTTTAACGACGTTGAACTACGGTCCCAAGCATTACCACCATCGAGAGATAGAGAGAGAGAGAAAGAGAGAGAGAAAGAGAGATGTCGAATGGGTTTTCAGGGATAAAACTGCTTTTAACCAAAAGTCCCTGGGACCGTAGACGAGGATGAGCATGAGGATGAGGATGAGAACAAAGATGTTCGTGTTACTCCTATCTTCGCACGTCGTTGACGCGATGTCTAACGACATATGTGAGCATGAATCAACCTGCCTTAAGATTTTATCCCTCGAGTGAACGATGAAAAAAAAAGAAAAAAAAAAGAAATGATTCTTCCTTCACTTCGATCATACATATTATAATATTATCTTTATTTTTCATGTAAATTCTTTTTTTTTGTGATAGTAATGGATGTTAATGGGACTAAAGGATTAGTAATTGTTTTTGTTTATTTGTATTCTTTGCAATGAAGAAATAATAAAATTATAAGAATTATTGTAGACTTCGTATATACAAGGAATTATTATATATTATTTTATAATAAATATATAATAATTATACTATTATATTACAATATATTATATTATAATTAATATTATATATAATTATTATGTAATAATAATTTATTTTATTATATTATTATTATTATATATATATTTATTTATTTATTAGTTTTGTTTAATTATTATAATGTAATAATAACTTGCTTTATATAGCAAACATATGTGTAAATTTTAAAAAAATTTTTATCCTTCGATATTTTAAAAAAAATTAATTTAAAAAATTGCTAACAAGAATTTTTTCTTTCAAAAATACGATGCACAAATGTGAGTATATTCTTAGTAATAGAAAAGTTAAAGAATTTGATGATAAGCATGCCAAGCAAGGGTTAGTTGAAACATCGGTAACGATAAGTACTTCCGAACACGCCATCTTTATGTACCGACGGGGTATTCAGGAAGATGTAAGCTCGTTTAAATTTCTATCTTCCTATAAGGTTTAGTCGGGTTTTATCGCGTCTCGTTTTGCCAGTACTACGATCGGGATCAAAGATTCCTTGTTTTCCGGTAAAACAATTTTGTCGAATTTCATTCTACAATGAAAGCGAATATCCAATTTTTTTATGTATTCATATTTATCTACATTTTCATTATGGGGGTTTCTTATTTCTGTCGTTGTTACGTTAACATTTTAATTGTTATATCAATTTAATTTTCCAATTAACGGTTATGAAATAAATTATTGAACGTTAATGATAAGAGTTGCAACTCGTTGCATAATATTGCTTGTGTTATTTTTAATATAATGTTGATTCGAAAAGAATAAATCAATATATTATTTTAAATGAAATTATTTAAATGCATTTTAATAAAAAAAAAAAGAAAGGTAAATGATACGAAACTACGCAATTATCGGAATTTCTTTTCTTTTTTTTTTTTCAAATGGAAATTTATATTTGTATTATATTTGTTCACAAAAAAAAAAGAATATTTTCTCTCGAATAAAATATTTAAATTCTTTTCAATTAAAATCACTTTCTTATCTAGTAAAAAGGTTTCCAATTGAAAATTAATTACAACCAGTTGTCCGTAAAACTTCTTTTTTTCATGTTCACTGGACTAGAATTGTTATTAGCGTCGTTCTTCTGCATAATTGTACCGAAACATTCATCGTTTTATAACGAAATTCGTGGCTATGAATATCTTTTGTGTTCGTACGCAAAAAAGGGGGACTAATTAAATTACACTGTTCAACGAATACATCCGATCGATATAAACATTTAATCCTGTGTTTTCCGACCAATAATTTTTTTTTTTTTTTAGTTTAAAACAGGAATGGAACATTGGTCGTGGATGCGTTTTTTTTTTTTTTTTAGTATATTCCATCTGGGCCAGCCGAAAAACGTGGGTATTAAAATTGCATCGATAAAATTATTTTTTTTAGTTTTTTTTTTACACTTTATATTTTTTTTTGGATTAATTCGATCGAATTAATTCGTAATACGTCCAACGATTGAGAGGGGGTAGACAAAAAAATAATGAACCTCGCATGAAACAACAACAACATACAACACAAAACAATACAAATTATACACATAGAAGAAGAAACCTATATACACCTATAAATACATACATATGGCCCATGCATGTATGCATCAGCACAACGTTTCGCGTAATCGTGTCTCATCGAGCGTGTAGCGATAAGTCGAACGTAAATTCATCGTTTATTGCGTAGAGGGGAAGTTGAGGGGATGGTAAACGCATTTGTAAGTCGCGCCTTCGAGTTTTGATATCGTCTCGTGCGGTTTCACGCGCACTGAATACACATTACAGAAATACGAGCAAGCATTCGCGGAACATTTAGATCGTAAAACATGTCGGTAGGAGAGGGGAAGGGGGAAGGAAGGGGTTAGAAGGGGTTAGAAGGGGTGTAGGATAGTAATATTGCAATGGTGGAGAAACACGGTGCGGTTGACGCGCGAATGCTTCTCTGGATAATTCGTCGCCCAACATAGGAATGTATGAAGGGAAGGGTAGGAAAGAGAAGGGAAGGGGTAGAGAAAGAGAGAGAGGTGAGGATACACGCTTTTCCCGATTATTACTCTGAACAAAGGTATATATTGTTGATTGTTGTTGCTGCTGCTGTTGCGTTGTTCTGCTACACGTGCGTTAACGAGTAGTAACGTTAAAAACCATTCATTATCAAAACGAGTAATGTTAAAAATAATAGACGAAACGTAACGAGATAGTTTATTGTAACCGATGGAGAAAGAGATCTGGTTTGTTATAAACAATTTAACAATGTAGTATGTCCGATAATTATCGATAATCGATGATATGCGAATATTAGTTAAAGTATTTTTCATTTTAATTATACTATGATGTAACATGTGTTGAAATTATATTATTATTAATGTGTTCTGTAATAATAAAATAAAATAATTATATTTATCTTACAGCTTTTATAAGTTTTATTTGTAAAAGTTATAAAAACATTGTAAAGATATGATGTGTTATATTGTAGTTGTATGGTTAATCGAATAGATGCATGTGTATGAGGTGGTACCATGAAAGCGTGCACAGGCGATAAGAGTTTCTGAAAGAAAGGACAAAGGACCGATAAACGAGCGCGTGCCGAAACATAGTTAAATGGTGTGAGTGTTAGCAATACGTGTGCAAGGTAATGATGATTGTATTAGTGCATTCTGGAAAGTAACGAAAAGGTAAAATAAAAGGCTACTACTACTACTACGATTCGCCTTTTGTGAGTTCTCATTAGTTAGTCCATGTTTTACGTATTATCGTAGTGAATTATTTCCAAACATTTTGCAAGTGTTGGAATATATTATTTACAGATATATCGTATCAATTATTATACTAGCATGTGTTCTTCCACAATGTAAAAAGAAAAAACTATAAATGTAAGACTTTTAATATGAAATTTTCTAGATTATCGGGTGAGAAAAGAAAATTTTTCAAAATACTATGATTTTATATTTACAATAAAATAACAAAAGGTATGCATCTTATATATATATATATATGTGTGTGTGTGTGTGTGTGTGTATGAGTAAGTGAGTTTGATAGCTGGAAGAATGAATCCAAGGCTGATATTTGCGCATCTGCCACCGAGTGCACTTTGCCGTTTAGTTTCGTACGATAAAGTTATCTTAAATAAATATAATTAGTTTCGTTTTTCTTTCTTATTCTTTTAAAACAAATCTCATTCAATTAAATGAACCGCGAATACATTATATAAAATTAATTTATATAATTCAATGTTCATTGTTTTCTTGTTTGTAATATTGCTTGCATTAGAATCAATACTGAATGGAAAGAAAAAAAAAACAAACAGGGTTGGATGATGTATGACGGAAATTTAGTTGTTTAAATAAATGAGAGAATTTATATTACATCTGGTATTGTGTTTCTCAAAAATGAGAAAGTTGCGCAGGTTTTACGTTAAGTGGATGCAATTAATTTCGTACAAGAATAAAGTAGGTAATGACGTTTGTGCATTTTAAAAAGTAGTTTTAACAAATACAAGATGAAACACGTTGTACTTATAACATATAAGGATAAGAATTACTGTTTTTAGTTTTTTTTTTTTAAATAAAATATTTTAAATTATTTTCTAAATGTAATAAATAAAATTAGAAACTTGTTACGATAATTTAATTATGTAAGATCAATTTCTAGTTAAATTTAAGTTAGGATCAAAAATATATTAAAGATAACGAGAGTCCGACGTGTATAATCCATAGGAGTAATCGATCTTACCGGAAGAAAAACACGCCCCAAATGAGGGCGGCTTGAAATTAAACTAATTAGCTGCACAATTAGCAAACTGAAACGTAGATTTCGTGTTCTTATTGCACTTACATTCACGGCCGAAAGCAGTCAGCCGCACATTAATGGCTTCGAAGATACATTATTTTGGTTAGTTACTGCATGAGCTCTCATTCATAAACACGTCTCGTCTAATTATTTCATATAATCATGCATATTTGCATTTACGTATGTTTTCATGCACTTTCCAATCGTTTCAAAGAAATCAATAATTAATGAAGCATACCTCCTATTGTATGCATTATAAATATTAAATACGTATATTATATTTATTAATTGCTTCTAGCAAATATCATTCACGTACGAATTGTATTTCTTCGTGAAAAATTGTGTTGAAATGGAAAAAAAAAAGGGGAGAAAATGTTATTTCATTTTTTTCAATATATTTTTACACGTATCATAAATCATTACAAATCACTACTATATATATATATGTGTAAATAATTATTTAGTATATTATTACCATTTGGAATAATCTGATTATTTCCTTTAGTCCAATAGTTGATTGATTTTGGGAAAGCCTCGGAATGACACTCCAACGTCATTTCTTGTCCCTCTTGCACTCCCACCAATTGATTCTGGATCATGATCATCGGAGGAACTGTCAAAGGGATCCAAAGGTATCAATACGAAATATATACAAACTATTCACACAAATAAAACGAATCAAACTATTTCGGCTTTACGATGTACAGATGCGAGACATACAGAGACTTGTAAAAAAAGAAATGGTATACATAAATATCGTCGTAAATTTATTAAATATTTATTTTCAATTTAATTTGAGTTGATTTTAGATAATTTTCTAGTATATGTCTTTCTCTCTCTTTTCACGTGTATCGTTCGTAGTTCGTTAGAACAGTTCTGGAAAAATTTCACTTCCGTCGTGCACTTCCCTCTTCTCCCTTTTACCCCTCTTGGCTTCTAAAAGTCGAAGCCAAAAGCCAAACAAGCGAAACAAGTTTGAATTACCCTTCGGCAATTCGAACTAAAAAAAAAAAGAAAAAAAAGAAGAAGAGAGAGATAGAGAGAGAAAGAGGGAGTTGCAATCGTAGGTTGCAATTTGTACAAGCAACTTCGTTGTACTCTTGAACGTTCGCAATTGAGAAGGAATAAACGCGTTATTTGGACGAAAAGAGGGGTATGGCTGCTGTTGCGGATTTAATGTCAAAGCAGAGACGAATTCTCGCGATGATAATATCGATTGAAGCAGCAGCATCGTACACTCCCACCGGAGTAGTCGCTTGAGTCGCATTTTCGACGTATCTAGTTACTCACAATAGTACTCTTGTGAACGTTCTTTGAATTTGAATAACCCCTCCTACTCCTCCTCCTGCCATCATCTAAGCGTATTGAAATTTAATTTGAATTTCAAAAAGTTTAGCAATCGAGCTGTAAGAGATAAAACGTATTTTTTTTTTATTTATTTTATCTTATTTTTTATGTTGATATAATCGAACTTCGTTCTAAATGTATGTATACATCGTTATACTCTACCTACCTCTTTTTGTTTTTTAATTTTCCCCCGTATGGAATACATCCAGCTTATTTTTTGTTTTATTCATTTATTTGATAAAAATTGTGAAATACTACCCACCAACAAAGTAATTAATATTGAAGTATTTTTCTAAAAATTTCGACGTTATTTCAAGCACTTTCGAACAAGTCGTTACGTTTGAAAAAGAGAGAGAGAGAGTTTTGAAAAAGTGTACGAATGAATTTGCAAAACATTTTACTCGTGCGAGGAAGAGAAACGCTTAAGTGCTCAATTGACAAACGTATCAACTAGCCCATTCCCATCGTTGGAGATCACACACGAACGATGTCCTTTCAAAGACTGTGCTATGTGATTTCGTAAATCTTTCGATGAGTTAATGGTAGTACATACATTCAGAGGATTTATTTTGATTTATCTTTTTAAATTTTCGTATTTGGATCGAATTTTAAGCTTTACCTTTACAAATAACTATTGAATATATATTCGAAAGATTTTATTTTTTTTTTTAAATTATTTTTTGCTTCTTTTTTCAAATATTCGTTATTACGTTCAGTTACTCGTAAAGAAATTCGTTGATTGTTAGCAAGAATAATAATAAAAAAAAATAAATAACAATATCAACACGATATAAAGAATTAATGGACCGTTCCTTCCTAGTATAAAAAAAAAGAAAAACACAGTAAACGAACAAAAGCGTATTTTATACAATTTTTATCACTGTTAAATATTTAAGAATTAAAATATAAGGAATCGTTAAAGTAAAAGTTCTATGTTACAGGGTTAGGAAACATACGTTGATGACCACTATTTTAGAATTGTTAATGAGCTATACGATTAAGGATTAAGCTACCTCATCGAGGCTGAAGTTTCCTCATTAAATATACTCACAGTGTACTATAAGCATAATTCTCTTGCTGACGGTAGGTGGAACACTGTTTGAAGCGATACAAAGATACGCTCCCATCTGTAATCGATTCACTCTCACGATGTTGAAAATTGATCCTTCGATGCTGCTAACTGCAACAAAATATGTCCAATTGAATATATAATATGATAAAAAAAAAAGAGAACCAGACATTTTTTGAACAACATACAAAATGCATAGAATAAAATGTTAGATTATTAAAAATCGAATATTGTTCTGTAACAAAATAAATATAAAAAAATTCGTTAGCCCAAGTTAGATCCAAAATTAATATCAGCCAAACCGAGATGCTTTGCTATTTCTGTGAAGCAGCACCAATACTAATTCACTGCTAACAACAACCTAAAGGTTTTGCCGATTGCTCTAATCTCCGTAAACATCGGATATCTCGGATACTTCCTTGGAACAAAACCATTTCCATCGCGTAAGCGAAACACTTGTCGGCTACTTCTTGCTTTAAGTCGAATATCTTGCGACTAAGTCTAACTATATGTTATTCCATTACTACCGAATCAATTATGTTTTTTTCGTAAAATACGAACACAATGAATAATATTTTATAACGAAAGATACATTAACGATGTATACGTTATTTAATACATCGTGTTGATTATTTATTTGAATACATATAAAAACATGTGATAAAAGATTTTATTTTAAAATAAAAAGATTATAAAAAAAAAACAGTAACGATAATAATATGAAATAAATAACTAGTGATATCACTTTGTATCACGTATTTAGTGAGATAATATAAAACCGCAGGAGTCTCTCTTTGCTATTTTTTTTTCTATTCAGACCATTATATTAGTGAACCTTATTTTAATAATAATCTGAAAACGATATGAATAGAGAAATCTCATTTGCTGAAACATCGTATAAGTAATATATAGTAAATATCATTTATAATACAATTTATTTCTATGCATTTTTTACTTTTAAAATGAGACCTTTATTTATTTATTTTTTTTTTTATTTCATCTTCGTTGCGATTTTATTTCTTTCCCTTTTTCTCCTTTTCTCTTTATAATCTTTTATCTTTTATTTGTTCATTTTCATTTTAGTCGAGCTCGATTATCTTCCTTCGCGAGAGAACAAAGCTAAAACACGACTACCACCACCAACCACCACCACTACCACCATAACGAATTATCTTTCTCTGTTAGGTATGTTAACGCATGAACACGTCTCAATTAACGATCGTTCGTTCTCTATCAGCTAATCAGTCTTTGCCTCAATCAACGTCCGATCGATCGTACGTCCATTTTTCATTAAATATAGACATTTTATTTCTGACTAAACGGAATTATTTCAATCTCTTTTTAAAAGAAGAAAAAAGAAGAAAATACGAGCTAATCAACTGTATCAAATAAAAAAAAAGTTTATCAAATTAAAAAGAAAATGTTGCCAGATAATTACCGACTTTTATTTTCTTCATTTTTCTTGAATTCTAGATCAAAAAATAGAATTTTGATAAATAAACTCTTGTAAATATGCCGCAAAGGAGTCCCGAGTAAGAATGTCTCATTGCAATGTTAGACATAATGGGTCCGTAGAATTATAGATCTTGGCGCATGCGTATTAAACGAAATGCGGGTCTTAATTTATTCAGGAGTTTCGTAGCACTATGTTCGCGCATCCTCACTCTTCATGCCCACTCTACGCCACGCCCTGCCGGGTCCGCTATGAAAGCGCTCTACCCCATTCTATCGTCTACGGGACGGATCTCGAGCAACATCTTGAACGAAATAGAATCAAAGTAAGTTGCAATGCGACTAATCTAGTGAATGCTTTCGTAATCATTACAGGATTCAATTTTGATGTAATTGGCGTGCATATAGGTCCCAATGGGAGAACAAAATAATTACATTTCATTTCATATAGTTTCATTTTTTCAAATCACCTTCATTCTAAGAAGTTTTCACTTCAAAAACAAGAGAAATTTTAAAAATGCATTTAACGACGACGATTACGATGAAGAGCAAGAGATAGTGGTAGTAGTATATAATGGTAAAGAGTAGTGCGTGGGTTATCAGAGGGTAAAAGATGATGATGAAGAAGAAGAAGAAGAAGAAGAGAACATGGGAACCGCAGACAGAGAGGCGAAGCACGGGCCACGCGTTGCATGTAAATCTCGGGACGAGAGGGAAACTAAAAGGTGGTTGGTTGCCGCGGTAGTATTCACCGGTTTGAATTTTCGTCCCGAGTACGAAGTTTGGCCAGTACCACCACGAGGATGTTTAATCTCCGCACGAGGCAATTTATGTTATTGAAATGGTTGCACCGTTGACTCGACTCCCTTTAGTCACCTGCTTGAAAGAGAGAGATAGATATACACTAGGTATATATAAAATGAAATAGAAACAGAGAGAGAGAGAGAGAGAGAGAGAGAGAAATAGAAAAATATCAACGTGCCAAAGCTGGTCTCGACGACGTTACGGGTTTCAAGCTCTTTGTTTAATTGCAAATCCCCCCTCCCTCTTTTCACCCCTTCCCATACCCTAGTACTTCATAAACGCGTTCCGTGTAGAACTTTCGCACGATACACTATAGTTGTATGTTCTTCTCTTTCATCTCCAATTTGTCCTCTCCTTCCGGATCAGATTTTATCGACGAATTTATACGAATCGACTTTCCGTTTTATCATTCCCTTTTTACTTCTACTTCGTTTTATTTTAATTAAAAGTATGGATTTCGATTAAACATGAAACACTCGGCCATTCCTTGCCAAAGAATGACTCATCTAAATGCTACACATTCGATTCGGATATTTTTGTTGAAAATAGGAAGAGTATTGCATAGCGGAAATAACGTCTATCATGCAAAAAAAAATATATATATATGTGTATATTATCTGACTGTGTAGAACAATGTAAAAAACAAAAAATTACGCAGGGATTTTATGGAGATCGAAGAGTAATCTTTCCGTTTAACCCATTCATCCCATTTGTCTTATTTTAATTAAAAATATGGATCCTACTGTAGAATTTGAAAATGCACCGCTGAGAGTTTTATTTCCAATATATGTATGTGTACATTAATATCACCGAATACTTTTTTTTTCTGGCCCCTATATTTTAGAGAACTAAAGACAAAAGAAAGGAATGTAATTATACATCGTTTCTCTCATTTTTATTAATTTTTTTTTTTTTAATATAATATATAATACTTTATGTTTATCTTGTCATGCGTTTATCAAATTACGCTGGAAGGTTTTTATCGCTTTGCATATTTATTCATGTGTTCATTAAAAAATTCAATGATTACGTTTTTTTTTTTTTTAATATAATTCAACTTATGTTTTATTTGAACTAACATTAAAAATAAAAAAAAAAATAGTAATAGTGAGTGTAAACATGTCTTATAATTAAATATGTTCGCACGTAGAGATACAACAACCTTCAATGTGCAGAGAATACATTTTGAAAAAAATCGTGAAATTTCATACCGCGCTCGGTAAAGTATTGGCATGAATGCAAGTATCCCCTGTACTCTCTCTTACTCTCTCTCTCTCTCTCTCTCTCTCTCAATCGAAGTACAAAGGTTTTAAAACTTTGCGTGCTCACACACGGTGATGAAACTTTATTTCCCATTCGTATTTGTGGACAGTTTCCAGCAAATAGGTTCGGTGGTTTGCCCGGGATTTTATTCACACACACGTCAGCGAGGTCGAGTATGTCCGTGACAGGGTGTATGGGGTGGAATGAAAAGAGAGGAGGCGTGAAGGTAAAAGAGATGAAACACTAGTAACGAAATAGAGAGAGAAAGAGAAAGAGGAAGAGAGAGAAAGAGAGATACGATGGCTATGCCAGTGGCATTGCTAGCGGAAGAGTTGAATGGTCAAAGCAATTTACTTCTGAACTCTCTCTTGGACGAGAACACACACACACACACATAAAAAAAAGACCAAAAAAATATCCTATCCTGTAATTTTCGTAATTTTTTACAAATATTTTTATCATTTCGTTCATCTGTTCGTTTTTAGCAATCATTGAACGCGAGCGAGTTAGTTTTGATATCACAAATGTTGTAATAAAATTTTGGAATAACAGATTTCTAAAGATCATTGTTGGCAATTATTTGGATATTGTTTTTTTGTAATTATTTGTAAAGTTAATTGATCAATATTATTTTATAATCGATGATACAATTGATAAGATAATTTTTACTTGAAAATAAAAATAAATGAAAAGTATTGAAACGATCCGTGTCGAGGATAAAATCTAAAAGGTTTACCTATTTAAAAATAAATGTTAGGAAGAAGTGAACGTGATCCGAAGGAGAAGAATGATAAAAAGGGTTGAGAAAAAAAATATTCAAGAGAGCACTCTCAATTCGCGATATCTATTCTTATATATTACATAGATATACCCTATGTATCCTTTTATAAAACCTATACGTATGTAAATACGTACATATGTTAAATATACTTCGTAGATAAAGTGACCGAACGTTAGAATGCAGGTCTAATGATATAGGTAAGACGTTATCGTAAAAACTTATCTTTGATAGTACTTTGAGAATGTGAATACGAACAGTGGAACATCTTGAATCCTAGAAAAAAAAAGTGAACGTTTATTTATCATAAGATGCACTATGTGCAGTTAGAAAAAATCAACGGAAGTGTATCTGCAAATGAATAAAATATAAGACTTTAAAGTGTATTTATAATTTAGTTTGTTGGTTTATTTATTATAAAATTGTTAACCGGTAGAATTGTTTGATGCATCTACCATCAACGTCCGTAATAAATATAACAATATAGAAGATGAAACAGTTAGTTCTGTTGGTGCAAGTAAATGCCTCGCAAGTAAGACGAACGGATGATGAATTGCCGTCGTGTCTCAGCTTGGAAAATGTCTGCATTCGAGTGTATCTACTGTAAGCGGATAAGCCCGGATAAAATTCTAAATGAAGTTTCGCGTAAGACCAAAGGACCACCACCACTACCATTACCACCATGGACAGGGATCCTTAGTGATAAATGGAACAAACGATTAGATTCTAACGAATCGTCCTTTCCTTTATCAAAAAGAAAAAAAACCATCCAAAAAAGAGTAACTATACAGAACGAATTTATATATATAAATAATGTTTAATTCAATTAATTTAAATTTAATTATAACATTAAAATATAAAGATATAACATAGAAATTATTATCATCAAAATTTGAATTAAATATGGTGTGAATGATTAAACACGAATTATAAAATCTTCTTTCTAAATCTTTCTATTCATTGTTCATTAAATTTAAATGAAATATTGTTTCAATACATTTCATATTTTTTTTCTTTTTTTCTTTTTTGTTACATTAATTTTTCCTTTATATTTTTCTACGCTCTTATATTTTCCAAACGCGATATCATTGCTTGCATGGCGGGATTATTTTTCCAGGAGTAATTTGAAACGTTTCATTTTCCGGCCATTTTATTTAGTCATTTTTGTATCAGACCTGGTTTACTTTATTTGGTTTTTTTATTTTTCCAATTCCTATTTATCGTCGATTATTATTCAACGCTAGTATTTTCATTGTTATCATTATTATCGTGCAAAATCGTAAATGCAGGGAATCGAAGTTTGGAAAGAAATTTATGCAACCATCGGGAGGTAGAGAGGGGTATCGTAATTAAAATTGAATTTCGAATGAAATTGTCGTATTCGTAAAAATTACGAGTTAAACGTGAAATTCGTGGTATTATTATACGATAAGTATAAAAATGTTCTTTTCCTTATCTTTCTATGTTTTTGTCCGTCTCTCTCACACAAACACACACACATAGACACACTTTCTTTATCAGTCTTTTCATCGTTTCTTTCGGAGAATATAAATTGTGACATTAGGGAAAAGTTCCTTGTCTTACTTACCTCCTGAACCATTACCGAAAGATATAAGTTCGCCGTTCTCACGTTTCCAAGTGATGTTTGGTTGTGGTGATCCCCTTGCTGCACACCGCAATGTTACGTTACTGCCTTCATTAACGATCATGTCTGTACTCGTCGAATTGTCAAGAATGTCTGGAGGAACTGTAAAAAGAGGAATTTTAGTTGAAAAACCCTAATCTCAAAATAGTTAGAACGAAAGGGATAGAGAGAAAGGGATAGAGAGAAAGAGAGAGAGAGAAAAGTAACATACTCGTAATTTCAAAAACTTTTTAATACGAAATTATTAAAAGAGCACTGGACGCATTTTTACTCAAGAAGAAAACTTTTAACGAGTCCTTTGTGGTTTAGAACGTTTTATCTGCCAACGTATATATATGTATAAGTATATATATACTTATCTATCTTGAACTCTTTCTTCTTTTTAATACAAAAAATACAAAAAATAAATATAAAAGAAAAGAAAAAATAAATGATTGAACATGCAATGCAATTCGTATATATATATGTATTGTCGCAAATGTTACATCGACGAAATGTCATATTCGCGTAACACGTTCTTCTTTCACTCTTTCTATTCCCCAAGAGAGACGATTTGATATTGGATATCTAGTATCATGTCAGTAAGATTACAACTTTACGTCATAGGTTAATAGCTTTCCCTTTTTTTTATTTTTCTTCTTTTTATTATATATTTTGTTTCTTTTTTAATTTCTGAACGCGATCTTTTAGCAATGTATTTGTAACATTTTCATCGATGGTTTTTATATTTTCATTTATAACGATCAACTTCATTTAAACGTTTGACGATTGACAGAAATATGAGAGATAAAGAAAAGTAAAATTTATTTATTAACTACACGAATACGGTGAACCAACCTACAACTTCCAAGAAACCAGTTTGACTTTTCATAGGTTCGGTATTTATTTGACACATGTAAAATCCCTGGTCACTTGGGTTGACATCACGTATATGTAAGTACCACATCTTGTGTTCACTGTGGGTTACTTTGATTCTATCATTTTTCGTTATCACATGATTAGCTATCGTCAGGATGGTTTGCGTATCGACTCTCAACCAGGCAACCTGTAACATACAATTTTACGAATTTTGTCAAAATAATATATACAATATAACGTTCTTGTACACGAATTTATATATAAAATATAATACGAAATATTATTCTCGTTGAGAATAATAAGGGAATAACGATATTCTCACGAACGAATTTTGCATTCGATTGTTGTATGCTTAATCAGTCATGTTTCATTTCGTTTTCTATGTATATGTATATAAATACCACGCGTATGCGCGTTAGCTATGATTAATTAATCATTACATATTTCTACATTTATAATGCGTACGATTTTATTCGTACAAATACATATATTGCAAAATTAAAACGAGATAATATTTATATCGTGAAACATTTAATATCAAATATATGCGAGAGACAAATATACATTTTGATTTTATTTTAGAAAATATGATAACTCATCGATATAAAATTAACACTCCAGATGACATATAAAGTACATAGATTAAATAAAAAAAAAAATAAACAAATTTTTTTATTTAAATACAATATGAAATTTCTATTCTAACAACGCGTACCATTGAACCTGTTTTTTAAATTTGTACCGATTTGAAATTTCGTAGGACATGTAACAAACGTAGCATAGTTTGGATAAAAAGGGATACAAAAGATATTCTTTGATCTCAGTGAAAATAAAGCTCGTTAGAGTTTCTTTGATGCACCATTACGGAATCGACTGCACTTTCGACGAGAAAGAGATATTATTTCTCCAAGCCGGACGGCGATTTGTTTGACAACGAAACGGATCTTTCTTCGTTACTTTCGTTCTTACTATGAAAAGAAAGAAAGAATGAAAGAAAGAAAGAAGGGAACCGGGTTGTTTGATTTTCCACCTACTGGAAAGAAGAAGAAGAAGGCAGCAGCAACAGCAGAGTATCCTTCTCTCCGACTTATTTTCCAATTCTCGGTGTGTTTCCGACGTACGCTTTTTGATGGTCACTTTACATTGCAAATTGTGAAAAGCACGGACCCTTTCCTTCTTCTTCTTCTTCTTTCTTTCTTTCTTTCGTCAAAACCTACCGTTGATTTTATTCTCTTCTTTCCTTTTCCCTATCTTTCTCTCTTTATCCCTCTCTCTCTCTCTTTCTCTTTCTGTCTTCTTCCTCTTAAAGTTGTTCTTTCAAAAATATATCCTACAGTTTCTCGAAACTTCTTCCCTCTTTTAGCAAGAGAGAAAGAGGGATATAGAAAGAGGTCAAAGTTGTTTAGCCCTTTTCCGTTTTATATCATTGTATATTCAACTTGGAACTTTTATAAAATCTTTCTACAATATATATATATATATATATATATTTTTTTTTTTATTTTTTTTTAATATAATATATAATACTTTATGTTTATCTTGTCATGCGTTTATCAAATTACGCTGGAAGGTTTTTATCGCTTTGCATATTTATTC